CGGCCAGAAGATCGGAGAGCAAGTGAGTGGCGCCTGGTGGTCAGCCTCCCCCCCCCCCCCCGTGCCCTTGTTCCAGGTAGAATGGGGAGAGGGGTGCCCATGCAGCTCCACGCACACTGGCCGGGGAGAGGGTATTTGCCGGGAGGCGAATACTTCTACATCGAGACTCATGCTGGTCCTTCCCATTCAGACTTTTGGGACTTTTCTCTCCGTCGCTCCTCTCGCAGCCCTCCCGCCCCCGCCCCCGCCCCCGCCCCCCGCTCCTTCGCCAGACCGTGCGAGCCCACCAACACCCCTGCTCGCCCCCGCGTCCGGCAGCGCACCGTGCGTCTGGCCAACGGATGGGAAAGGAAAATTGCTGGCTATACTTACGTATTGCTCTCGTGATCTATTGTTGGCCGACTGCTGTGAGGTCAGATTTTACGACGCGTCTTCTGGCAGGGCTTCAGGAGCAGGACGGGGGAGGGGGGACCACGCATACTGTTTTTTTGCTCCCGCCGCGCGCTGGGCCTCTGTGGGCCTTTCTCTGGTTGGACAAAGGTATTGCTTTGTATCATTTTGATGGGCATTTTTTTGCCTCCATGTCTCACGTATGGTCCTGGTGCATCGGGGGGGGGGGGGGGGAAGCACCCCGTCATTGGCGGATGCATGGCAGCCCCGGTCAAGCCGGGTGCGGTCCGAAAGGCAGGCCGCGACGGGATGGACTTTCTTCTCCCCGTGCTGGTCATTGTCCAAAACAAGAGTATGAAGGCAAAGCACAACAATATATGTCTCGAGTAAGGGCGCAGAGAGAGGGGGAAGAGGACATCCCCTTTCCTCACGAGAGTTGTGACAAACGGTCCTGAGCGTTTGGGGGGCAGAGAGAGGGGGGGGGGAAGAGAGACAGGGGGAAGAGAGACAGGGGGAAGAGAGACAGGGGGAAGAGAGACAGGGGGAAGAGAGACAGTATGCTGGTATGTGGAAGGTCGTTGTTGTATTGAGTGGAACACCTGCCGGAACCTCGAGACAAGGGAGGAGCGAGGAGAAAGTGGGAGCAGCGAGTGAAATGGGGCTGAAAAAGGCACACGCATGAACATGTGCACTGCGGTGTGACACCATCTGAAGAGGGCGGGAACAATGGCATAGGCGCACATTGCACACAGAATCTCAACAAGAAGAGAAGTCTACTTGCCCTACTCCCGCCCCGCTTCCCCTCCTGGTAAACTTGCCCGTGGCGCCGCGTGGCGAAAGTGTGCGGGAAGAAGCTACCCTCCGGGTGACCCCCCCCCCTCTCGCACATACACGCGTGTGTATGGAGGGGGGCCGGGAGAGGGGGAGGGAGGGAGAGAGAGAGAGAGAGAGAGGGAAAGAGAGAGAGGGAGAGAGAGAGAAACTGGGGGACGAGGGGATGTAGTATCGGCAACACGCTGCGGCAGTGGATGCACACGCATATGCGCGTGCGCGCGTGCGCGCAGGATATCGAGAAAGGTGCAAGGACAGAGGGGGAGGAGAAAGGGGAGAAGAAGAGTGGGGGAAAGTGGCAGCGACAGCGACAACCGGGCACATGGGGGGGAAGTGCGCGCGCGCGCGCGCTCACATGCGGCACACATGTTGGGAGCGAGTGCCCGGTGCTGGTGGCTTGCACAGGGAGAGCGGGGGTAGGGGAGGAGGATGGAACAGATCGAGGAAACGATGGAACGATAGATAGAGAGAGAGAGAGAGGGGGGGGGAAAGGGGGGGGGAGGAGGGCGCAGCAGGGCTATGGCAGCGTAGGAGGCACACCACTGGTGCACACTTACGACGAGAGGGACTCCTCCTCGACGGCAACAGCGGCCTCGGGCTGAGCCTTGCCGGCAGTCTCATCGTCCTCCTCGGCCGGGGCGGCCGGCTCCTCGGCAGGAGCGGCGGCCGCGGCGGCCGGCTCCTCCTCGGCCAGCGAGGACTGGACCAGCGCCTCAATGGGCTCCGAAGAGGTCTCCATCAGGAGGTCCGGCTTGTCGTCGGAAGTGTGGGACAGCTCGTCAGCCGAGTCGGCATGATGCAGGTCCTGATCCTCATCCTCCGGCAGGTGGCCATGGGGAGGGGTGTCCAGGCTGAAGGACTCCTCGCCAACCGGGACATCGCCACCGGTGGTCATGGGGATGTGGTGGCCCGGAGGGGCATCCTCCTCGGCGCGGGCGGCAGTGGCAGCCAGGTCCGGCTGCTCCGAGTCATCATCCATCGACATGGAGGAGGCCATGATCGGGACCATGGTGATGGGCATCGGGGTGATAACCGGCTCGATGTGGGACTCCTCCATGGGGGCGGTCTCCTCAACAGGGGCGGCCTCCTCGACGGAGGTCTCCTCAACAGGAGCGGCCTCCTCGACGGAGGTCTCCTCAACAGGAGCGACCTCCTCCACGGGGGCAGCCTCCTCAACAGGGGCAGCCTCCTCAACAGGGGCAGCCTCCTCAACAGGGGCAGCCTCCTCAACAGGGGCAGCCTCCTCAACAGGGGCAGCCTCCTCCACGGGGGCAGCCTCCTCAACAGGGGCGGTCTCCTCGACGGGGGCGGCCTCCTCGACGGGGCCGGCCTCCTCGACGGGAGTCTCCTCAACAGGAGCGGCCTCCTCCACAGGGGCGGCCTCCTCCACAGCAACAGCAACAGCAGGGGAGGTAGAGACCGGGCCCTCGGAAGCAGTCACAGCCGAGTCAAAGGAGGTGGCCGAGGCAGACTGAGGAACAGCCGCCTCAGCAGGGGTGGCAGTCTCCTCAGCAGGGGCAGCGGCCTCCTCGACAGGAGCAGCGGCCTCGTCACGCGGGGGGAGAGAAGCAAGAGGGTCCTGGGGGGGGGGGGGAGGTAGGCCAGCAGAAGGAAGGCAAGGGAGACCAACAGCCCGGCACACATGTTAGGAGCTGCGATGAGGGAGAAGCCGGGGAGGAACAACGAGTGGCCAGCGGGCGGGGGCAAAAAAAAAGAAGAAGAAGCAAAACACAACATACATCAGCGTCGAGGTCCAGGGCAGCAAGGCGAGCGTTAACCCGGGCCTCGATGGCTGCATTCTCCCCGGGCGTACGACGGGGCATGTCCGGATTGAAGGCAGACTCCGGGGCAGAGGAGACATCACCGGCACCAACATGGCTAGTGTGCTGCGAGAGGTTGAGGGGGAGAGGGGGAAGGAGGCGGAGAGAAAGGGGAAGAGCCCGGGCAGATAGGTGAGTCCCGAGGGGGAGGCGGAGAGTGACCAGGGAGGATCGGGCATGGAGGTGGAGGAGAAGAGCGAAGCCACGAACCTGGAAGTCGCGAGGGAGACCGATCTGATCACGAGTGATCTTCTTGGAGGGCTTCTTGCCGTCGGTCAGCTTCTTCGGGGAGGAGATCGTGTTACCCATGGTTGCGGAAGGAGACTGGGCGCTTTCTGTGTGCGTCAAGAAGCGGACGGGGAAGCGAGAGAGAGAGAGAGAGAGAGAGGGAGAGAGAGAACGGGGGAAGAGGCGAATGGAGGTGAGTGCGGGGGGGGCGAGAAAGAGAGAGAGAGAGAGAAGAGCTTTTTGTAGGCAACACCGGAGTGGAAGCCAAGCGCGAGAAATCGGAGGGCAGGGGCGAGCGAAAGGGCAAGTAGGCGGACGAAACGAACAGGTCTCGGCGTGAAGACGTAGAAGAAAGAAACAGGCGCGGGTCGGGCGGGGAGGGGAGGGGGAAGGGAAAGGGGGAAGGGAGGGGAGGGGATGCGCGGCGCAAGTCGAGCGCAGGCAGGCGAGGGGGGGGCGACGGCGAGCAGAGGGGAGGCGGCAGGCAGGCAGGGGAGGATAGGAAGGAGGGAGAAGGCGTTGGTAGGGGCGCAATCTGGGGTTGTTTCGCGGCCGCGGGGCGGCCGGTTCGAGGGGATGGTTCCCTTAATTTCGGTTGAATCTGCCCGCCAAGGCCGGGGGAGGGGGAGGATGGACGGTGCGCAACGGGGAGCGGAGCCTCCCGGGGCGGGCACGCGCGCGCGCGTGTGCATGCGCGAGCGCATGCGCGTCCCTGCGCTCCACGCGCGGGGGACGCCGGGCCCTTCTCTGGAGAAGGAGAGAGAGACGGCACGTCCAGCGGCGCCCGCCGAAACACAACCTCACACACCCGGCTCCTCGCTCGCCCGCCCGCCCGCCTTGAGAATGGCCAGGGACAAGGGGGTGCAGCGGGCCTGGGGGCGGGAGAAGAGAAGGGGGCCGCGGCGTCCACCCACCGTGGAAGCCGTTCGCCTCGCTCTGGGCCCTTTTCGACCAACGGTCCTAGGGTTGGTGGAGCTGTGGCCGGAGGGCGGCAGACGGCAAGGGGCGGCCAGGCTACGTGGATCCTTCGGTCCTGAGGTGTCCCCCGCCGCCCTGACAGTGTGCGAGACAAGCCCACTGGGCTGGGAGTATGTGGGGGGGGGGGGGGGCGCACGGGTGCGACGGCTGCGAGAGCGACCAGCTGCCGGGGAAGGTCATCGCTTTGTCGGCTCTCCCACGCGCGCCGGTCTCCTCCGCTCGCCCCCCCCCCCCCCCCTGTACATGCCTCTGGGTGCCCAGGCACCCGGGGGGGGGGGGGGGGGGGACACCGCGGGGGGGGCTTAAAGAGGAGGCAGGAGGGGGGGCGGGAAAAGGGGGGAGAAAGGGGCCGAGGGACCCGGGCCGAGCGCACCGTGGGGGGGGGCACAAAAAAAGAAAAGTGGAGCCCAAAGGGGGGGGGGGGGGGGGGGGGGGGGGGGGGGGGGGGGGCGGGGGGGGGGGGTGTGGGGGACGGCCCCCCGCTCGGGGGGGAGGCCGCCCTTTTTGCCGCCCCCCCCCCCCCCCGCCCCCCCCCCCCCCCCCCCCCCCCCCCCCGTGTTACAGCCCCGGGGGGCCCCGGGGCCCGGGGGGGGGGGGGGGGGGAGACACACCGGGAGAGCACTGAATAGCATGCAAGGAAGGGGACCGGAAAAAGGGGCAGAAGAAGGCCCGAGGACACTGGCCAGAGCACCATGAGCGAGGGCACCAAGAAAAAGAAGTTCGATGCCCCGGGGGGGGGGGCGAGGGGGCCGAGGGGGCCGAGGATATGGGAACGGGGGTGTACAACAGCGTCAGCGGCAAGGCGGTCGCATGTGCCAGTCGGGAGGGAAGTGGCGGAGGGCGGCCCGAGAATGGCCAGTGGCAAAACAACAGCCCACGGGTATTGCCCCGGAGGAAGTGGCTGCCGGGCGAGGCGGCCTGCGGCCGCCAGAGGGCGCGCAGAGGGACGCCGCAGGAAAAAGGAGGGGCCCCCTCTCCCACCGAACGGAGACACTACTGCGGAGCCCTGGCAGTCGAGGGCGTCGGTTGGGCTCACCGGCACAAAGGGGCTCGGGGGGGGGGGGGGGGGCGGCGAACGCGGGCAATATTCCGCCGCCGACTTGGGATTGACCGATCATGCGGATGCGCCTACACCGGCCTGCACATCGGTGTTCGCACAGGCGGCTCGGCGCCCCCCAGGTCACAGGCGAAACAAGGGCCCGGCTCTCGTGCGTGGCACTGGCACAGGGGAGAGCCGAGCGGCCCATGGCTGTGCACTGGGGGGATTTTCACGGGGAGGTCAACCGTTGCTTGCATCCAACCGGCGAACCGGGTCGGGCCGGGGTGGCGGGGTGGCGGGCGGACACACTTGCGCACAGACGCACACGGCACATACACAGACACACTCGCTCGCTCTGCCGTTGGCGAATAGCCCCCCTGCTTTGACTACACCGCAGCGCGGGGCTAGCTGTTCGCGCGCGCACAAGAGCCCCAAGACCAGGCGCGAAGGGGCGGGAGGCGGGGCTGGCAGGGACGTGGCACACGGGAAGAAAAGACCGCGCCAAGAGAACCGGCATGAGGTAGGGTTAGCTTGGCAAGCCGCCTAGCCACGGGCAAACGCCACACTACGAGGCGGCACATCGGTCGGGGGGGGGGGGGGGGGGGAATTCTCGGATCGGGAGGCGCCACAACGGGAGGGGGGGGGGCGGGGGCGCGAGCGACAACAGAAGAGGGTGGGACATTCCCCGGGCATTTTCCGGGCTCTTGGCGGGGCGGGCGACAATTGGTATGCGTCGCCCTCCACCCTGGACAGTCGGCGCGCGGGTGAACACACAGCCCCCGGAGGCCCGCGCGACACGCATGCCGCATGCCACACCCGCGCGCCCGGGGGCGGTGGAATTCCCCCCCCCCCCCCCGCCCGCCCTCCTCGCCCCTGCCCTCCCACCTGCGGGCGGCGCACGCGCCAGGGCGCCCAGGCAACCTCCTCCGGATAACGGAAGCTTGCCCCTGTCCCGACAAGCAAGGAAGGGGGGATCGCGGGGGGGAGGGGGACCGAAAATGGAGTTCGCGAACAACAGGTTACCACGGACTGGGGGGAGGGGGCCCGGCTCCTGTGGCGGCATTCAAGCCAAGCGCGGCCGGCCGTGAACCTACCCGCTCCCCTCGGTTGGGAGGCCGACCGTCCGTCGGCCGATGGCTGCGCACGAGTGTCTCCGTGTGCGTGCGTGTCACCGGTGTAGGCAGTGCCGCACGCGCGCGATGTACATTCCTCCCGGCCCGGACCCTGAGGACACCTCACTTTTCTCTGGCTCGCTCCAGCTCAACCATCGCGGGGCGCGTCGCGGGACGCAGGTCCGCGCCGCCACTCCCGTGCCGGTGCCCGGCCGGGAAGCGCTAGACAGCATGCCGGGACCCAAGTTCAGAGGGTGCTCTTGACATCCGCCCCCCCCCCCCCTCCCCAGAGCCCCATCCGGGCCGGCTTGTTCAGGCGCACATCGCCTGATGAAGGCGCGGCCACCTGGCGCTTCAGCGAGAGAGAGAGAGAGTGCGAGCGCGCAGGAACGGGCAGGGAACACCGGAGAGGGAGCAACTCCATCACTCGAAGAGCCTTCCGCGGTCTGTGGACTTTAATTATATCGGCAGATGCCACATGCGAGCGCGATGAGCCCCATCTCAAAGAAGGGGCCCCGAGAGAACGGCCAGCGAGGAGGTCCGGAAAAAGCGCATGCCCGTGCACTGGGGGGGGAGGGGGGGAGGGGCGCTAACGGGCACGGGGGCGGGCGGGAGAAAGGCCGCGGGACGAGACCTCCAGCTCGCACGCACGGGCCGAACCCTGACCTAGTCCAGGATAGGGTTGGCCCGGCTCCCGCGCCGCTGGGGGTGCGGGTGGGCGCGCGCGCGCGCGGGAATGCCAGGCGCTCGTGCGCTCGACTGTGTGAGCATGCGTACGACTTGCAAGCGACCGGCCACATTCCTCGCAGGGCTGGCCTCCGGGGAAGCGGGGGGGGGGGGGCGGGGGGCAAGGGCAACGGCCTTCAAAGGCCGGGTGGTGGGTCTAACGGACGACAACGTGACGTTTGGCCCCCAATGAGCCGCAGGGTTCTCCCGCTTGGGGCCTGGAGCGTTTGCGTGGTTGATCTCCCCCCCCCCCGGACAGCATCCTTGCCTAGGACAAAACACCGGTGCCCGGCCAGCCAACACACACGATTCCTCGTCTTCAGGGCCGGACGGCCCGACCGGCGTCGTTGTCACAGCCGCCACCCCCCGCGCATGCGCGGGCGCCAGGGCCGCCCCCCTCCCGCGCAAGGCCCCGCCGGCGGGCACGGGAGTCAACCGCAGCACACGCACGCCGGAGAAGATCATCTCGCCGCGGAGGAGATCACGCCCACATGTGATATCCCCGAGGACGCGGGCTGTTCTGAAGTGGGGGAGTCCTCCGGCGCCCTGGCAGACGGGCGGCCCCGGGCGCGGTGGCCGCCAGGGCCCAGGCAACCCGAGCAGCGAGTGGCTTGATAGTGTAAACAAGACGCCGTGGCCCCGGGTGCGGGGGGCCGGTGCGTATGCTCCTCACTGGCGGGGGGGAGGGGGGGGAGCATACATGTCTAAGTTGTGCACATGAGGAGAGCATCCTTGCGAATGAGCCCGCGTGGGGGGGGGGGGAGGGCGGGCGCGGAGCAAACAACGCGCCCCTGTCTGCGGGAGTACAGCAGGCAGGCAAAAAGGGCACACATACGCCCGCGACATACGCCCCCCCCCCCCCCACACGCCCGGGCGGGGCCGCAGCACCACCACCGCCCCCCTGGGGCCCGCGGGCCCGGCCCGCCCGAGGACACCCAAGTCCCGGGGTGTTGCGCATGAGTCGGTCCGGGGAAGAGGTGGCGCCGAGGCCCGAAGTCTCCGCGCGCGCCGCGGCGGGGTCGACGGGAGGGGAAAATACCCCGCCGATAACCTCGACATGCTGGGAGGGGCGGTCCTCAATGGCTTGGTCTCTCTTCTTTTTTTTTCGACTCGCACTGCGCCATCCTAGCCCGATAGTGAGGTCACACCCCGATGACGGGCGGGGCGCGTTCTCCCGGCCCCGGCGGCGGCGTAGGCCACGCACGCCCTGCAATCTTGTGGCGAATATAATAATACCGGTTCATGCCCAAACACCACATACGCAGGAAGGAGACTCGGAGCGGCTCCCCCCCCCCCCCTCCGTGGCAGGCCCCCGATCGATCGATTTAGCTCCACACGCGCCTGTCTCCGCTCCCTCGCCCCGCCCCGCCCTGCCCCGCATGACCGGCCCCTTTTGGTGTACGCCGGCCGAGGTACGTTCCAGGTGGGCCCGGACGACCGGGGCCACACATGACCCGGCCGGCGCCCGCTCACCCCCCCCTCTCCTCGGCGTGCATGAGCAAGCGCATGCACAAGGGTACAGCGCAGGGCGGGGCCGGAAGCATGACTACCCAGGTCGGGACTCCCTGCCAAGGTGCCTCTCCGATTGCCGGGTGCCATTAAGCCGCACGCAGGCCCTTTTGTAGCCCCCTCCCCCCCCCCCGGGGGGGGGGGAGCCGGGCTGAGCGCCCCTGGCTGCGGAGACAGGTGTTGCGCCTTCCCCGGCCCACTTCCCTGCGCTCTCCCCACAGCGCGGCCTGTTGCCCCCCCCCCCCCTCCCCCCCCACCGCCCCCTGCCCCGAGGCCCCGGAAGGACTAGCCTGGCCAGGCAGTCTTTTTTATATTTTTTTTGAAAACCGGCCCACGGGCAGGCCAAGTACAACAGCGCGCATAGGGGCCGATGCCCCCCGCCCGTTCCTGCCCCCCGCGGCACGTTGGCCGGCGTACGCACCCCGGCCAGGATCGTTTTTCCCC